GCCTGCGCGTGGAGAGGGGACAGGACGCCCGGCTGGTGCTCAGCCTCCCTCCCTCCTGCCTCTGACCTGGGCACCGCCCGCCCGCCGCCTCTGCTGCTTTAGGAAGTGGTCGTGAAACAACCTCCCACCGCCCAGAGGCCGGGGGGGTTAGGGCTGCACAGCATTCGGGTTGCAACGGTTTAGGATTGCTCAGTTTTAGGATAGCAAAGGAGGAAGAGCCAGTCTTATGGATCTAATTCTGCCCCCCAAAAAGATAAATTGCATTTAACCCTCGATACCTGGGAATGGGACCTTATTTGGAAATAGGGTCTTTGCAGATTGTACCAACGTAAGATGAGATCACGGGGTGGCCCTCATCCAGCGTGGCTGGTGTCCTACGAGAAGAGGGACATTCGGACACAGACACACACGGAGAGGAAAAGGCCATGTGATGACTGAGGCGGAGTTGGGGCGATGTCTACACAAGCCAAGGGACACCAGCTGCCCCCCAAAACTAGTAGATTTCCCCCTGCGGGTTTCAGAGGGAGCCCGGCCCTGCTGACACCTCGATTTCAGACTCCCGGCCTCCAGAACAGAGAGAAAATAAATGTCTGTTGCTCAAAGCCTCCCGGTTTGCGGTGCTTTATAGCAGCAGCCCCAGAAAACTAACAGGCGAGAGCATCCGTTATTATAATGATGGTTATGATTATCACGAGCTGAGTGGTTACTGCCTGAAGCCTGCAGACGCTGCCCAGTAAATCCGAGCCGCAGTGATTCGTCAGGGGTGGCCGCCGGGACGCCGGGGCGGGCTGGCGAGCTTTCCGCGCCCCCTGCAAGCGCTTGGCTCCGGGATGCCGCACGCTTTCTGCCCGACACAGGGACTCCCATTGGTCCACTGCTCACCGTGCTAAGATTTCTAGGAGGAATTTCGGAGGTGGCAGGGGGGAGAGTGGAGCTGGGAGTGACCGCAGGATGGATGCACCTGCGGGGTTTTGGGTGGAGGTCTTTTCTCTGGCTCCCTGGGATGTCAGGGAGGGAAGGCCTGTCCCCTCCCCTCGGCCCCTGCTCCCCACGCCCTGGTCCCCGCTGCTCCTGCAGAATCCAAAGTGGCTGCAACCAGGAAACGATGGGGCTGTAAGCTTCCATGTCCCCCTCATTCTGAGCATTTTAAAATCAATCTCCGCAAAAAGGCCCACGCAAAGTTCTTGGAGATCCTTTCATTAGGAAATGGGAAAGGGCCTGGCCGGTTGGCTCAGCGGTTGAGCATCGACCTAAGATCCAGGAGATTGGGGTTCGATTCCCGGTCAGGGCACAGGCCCGGGTTGCAGGCTCGATCCCCAGTCGGGGGCGTGCAGGAGGCCGCCGATCCATGACTCTCATCATTGATGTTTCTATCTCTCTCTCTCCCTCTCCCTTCCTCTCTCTGAAATCAATAAAAACATAATTTAAGAAAAAAAAGAAAAGAAATGGGAATGGAAGAAGCAGTGCGGTCGGGACAGCGGGTCCAACGCGCCCGCTGCCGGCTGGAGACAAGGCTCCCCTCCCTCCCTGATGAGGCGTCTTAGAGCCGAGCGGTGCGGTGGAGCTGGGTGTCTGCACGTGGCCTGGTGCAGGGGAAACTGCATTAGTCGGGGGAGTTCTGGAGGCCGCCCCGATGCCCGCGTGTGTACATAATGCATTCTTAATCACTGAGTTATGGAGATAGCTGGTGGAAACCTAACAAAGTCAGCTTGTTAATCAGATGGCACTTCCCAGGGCTCATCTGCCAGAATCCAGAACCACCCCTCCCCTTTCAAGCACCCTCACTGATCTGCATGACAATTGGCCG